GTGCATCCTCACCACTCAATGTTCCCCTCACGACCACCATCGACTCTCAGTCGACGGACAACCACTCGTCCAAATACAACGACATTCGTCACCAACTACGAACATTCACTGTTCGTCGCTATCTCCTTCACTTGCTCAAGTGACACTGCTTCACTGATAACCGATCGAATTGGTGCACACTAACTGTACTCTATCGATCACTGAAAACACTGCTACACATGAAAACAACATACCCTCAACTGCACACAGATGCATGTCACCAGACACTGGCTCAGTGACCAGACCCGATGCAATCAGTAACTCGACCATGTCAGCTAACTCGTCATAGGTGTGTTCACAGCGACTTCCCCATCACCACTGTACACCCGAACAACAATATCGCCTTGTTCGTCTGCATCTCATCAAACATGTGTGCGTGTCAACGACCAGACTGATATGCACAAGCGAGTTTGTAGATATAAATTGTGCGTGATGGTGCAGACCTACAAAATCTTCGTGTGAATTCATGTGGTAGTGATGGCGATGTCTGTGAGATGCAGATTGTGGAGAGGGACGAGTAAATGTTGAAGGTCTCTAGCGATTATTAATTTTTATTTAAACACCTACTCTCACACAAAAACTGTGTGCTTTCTCTTCTATCCATATTCACTTCGCGATCAATAATGTCACTCTATCTCCTGATAATTTTTCTATGCAACTGAATTGCGCATATTAATATATTTTGATTTTTGTCTTCGCTTGCGTTTTTCTTTTCATTTTCCTTGTTTTCCTTAAATATTTTCGTGTATTTTTTTTACTTTTTCCTTATGATTTCTGTGCTTAATTTCATAGATTTTATCGACATTTTGCATATAAATAATGCTATATCTTATGGATTTTGTGTCCTTGGTTCTTTGTTTTTCACCCCGTCGCCATTTTTATAACGCTCCGTTTTACTTTGCCTAATGTTATAACGGTTGGTTTTCTACGTTTACACGTATGGGACGTTAATTTACCTGAGACGATTATCTACACTAGATCCCTCCCCGTGTCTGTTCTACAGGACGTCAACACAACTAAGATCAAGAACACGTTATTAGCCTGACCACAACGTAAATATATTTCCACACCAAAAACCGACACAACCCAACAACAATGAACTATCAATAATAAGTTAGTAATAATAATACGGATAGGGGAATATATAACTCATCTGACACCTGTTAGACTGTCTATATGTCTGACTAAGCAGACAACCAATCATTATCATTCACGCCCACACATCAATTAATGAATAATGTTTATTAATTTGTCTGTAGTTTTTATGTCATTCTATTTTACCGTAACTTCGCCTGGAGCCCCTCCGGTCCCAAGCGCGGATAGAGGAGGAGGGTTAGGCATGGGGTTAGCGACACCATTCCATAGAAAACTAACTCGCTAAGACACGCTAACCAGAAAAAATTATTCAAACCATTTAAACTCCGCCCTGGGAGTCAGAAGGTCTTCATTTAGAAGAGTCATAACGCCTCATGGTGAAAGCCAAGTTCCTTCGGAAGCCACGAAGCCGATGCCCCTTCTGACAACCAGAACAACTATTTATTCAGGTACATGGAATGCTCGTACAATGTGGGAGACTGGGAGAGTCTTCCAAATTGATGCAGAAATGAGAAGATACGACCTGGAGGTGTTTGGGATCGGTGAAATACATTGGATGCAAGTCGGACAACAACGACTAGCTTGAAGGGAGCTTCTGTTATACTCCAGCCATGAAGAAGAAAATGCCCCACACACACAAGGAGTTGCATTGATGCTATCAAAAAAGCACAAAATGCACTTATAGGATGGGAATATCATGGAGCAGGGATCATCAAAGCCTCCTTCAAAACAAAGAAAGGGGGTGCTTACCAACGACTACAATGAAGACGTTAAAGACCAATTCTATGATAGGCTGCAGTCAATGTCGAGAAGTGCCCAACAAAGGACCTGACCATTCTGATGGGAACCTAAATTCCAAGGTCGGAATGGACAACACTGGATATGAAGACATCATGGGACGACATGGACTGGGAGAAAGGAATGAAAGTGGTGGGAGATTTGCAAACCTATGTGCCTTCAATAATCTGGTCATGGGCGGAACTATATTCCCACATAAGTGCATTTACAAAATCACATGGACTTCACCTGATCACACCACGCAAAACCAAACCGAACATATCTGCACCAACAAAAAGTTCGGGAGGACGATGGAGGATGTGAGAACCAAGAGAGGAGCTGGTCACCAAGATGAAATTGAAACTCAAGAAACACTGGACAATAGGGCGGACATCACAAAAGTTTAATTCGGCTTTTCTTCGGGATACTGACAAACTCAACAAATTCAAGATAACCCTCAGCAATAAGTTCCAGGCCTTCCATGATCTACTCAATGGAAAGGAGACTACTAAGGAAAGCAGCTGGAAAGGGATAAAAGAGGCAATCACTTCAACATGTCATGAGGTTCTGATCCACAAGAAGCACCATCACAAGGAATGGATCACTGTTGATACACTGGATGAGATTCAAGAAAGAAGGAACAAGAAGGAGTAATCAATATTAGCCGAACAAGAGCAGAGAAAGCTTAGGCGCAAGCTGAATATACAGAAGTAAACGAGCAGGTGAAGAGGAGTATCAGAACCGACAAACGTAAATATATGGAGGATTTAGCAACGACGGCGGAAAAGGCTGAAAGAGGAAACATGAGACAATTGTATGACACAACAAAGAAACTCGCCGGAAATTGTCGTAAACTAGAACGACCAGTGAAAAGCAAGGAGGGAAAAGTAATCACCAACATCGAAGAACAGCGAAATAGGTGGGTAGAACACTTCAAAGAACTCTTGAATCGACCAGCCCACTGAACCCACCCAATATCGAAGTAGCACCCATGGACCTCCCAAACAATGTTTGCCCACCAACAACTGAAGAGGTCAGCATGGCCATCAGACAAATCAAGAGCGGCAAAGCAGCGGGACCAAACAACATTCCAGCAGAGGCACTGAAATCTGATGTAGCAGTAACTGCAAGGATACTCCATATTCTCTTCAGCACGATTTGGGATGAAGAACAAGTACTAACAGACTGAAAAGAAGGACTTCTGGTCAAAATACCAAAGAAGGGCGATCTAAGCAAGTGTGATAACTACAGGGGCATCACTCTTCTATCAATACCAGGAAAAGTCTTCAACAGGGCATTGTTAAACAGGATGGAGGACTCCGCAGACTCTCAACTTCGAGACCGACAAGCAGGATTCCGTAAGGATCGGTCGTGTACAGACAAAATCACAACTCTACGGATCATTGTGGAACAATCAATTGAATGGAATTCATCACTCTACATCAGTTTCATTGACTACGAGAATGTTATATCCGAGCGAAGATTAAATCACGAGTAACTTCTGAGACATATTAATTGACTAATATTATCTATATATTCTTATGGTATAACTATTCAATAATTAGATTATGTATATTTATATTCCTCTCATCATAAGCTTCATTTTAACCTATATACTTTTATTGTACGATTTTCTGTTCTTAAGCTATGTTCAGTTTATTGACTCCTGCCTCCCACGTTCACAGCCACTTTTTGGCTTTATTGTGTACAAATGTTATTTCCTATTTTATGGTGCGTTGCGGTCTGTTTTGGTTGATATATAAACCCAGTATGTCTGAAATAAATGATTCGATTCGCATAGTGGAAGCTGGTATTGGTGTTCTCGACTCAAGTGGACGGGGTAGGCGGACATAGGACCAACAAGGACGCTAGGCTGCTCATACCGGTCGAACGTCATTGGTTTGGCACAGTGCTAAGATTGCATAGGTCGTATATTGATTGGTGGATAAATCACGTGATAACTAGCTGGACATAAAGACATAACAGAGAAAGCATTTGACAGTGTGAACAGGACAACACTATGGAAGGTTCTTCGACACTACGACGTGCCTCAGAAGATAGTCAATATCATACGAAATTCCTATGATGGATTAAACTGCAAAATCGTGCATGGAGGACAATTGACAGACTCGTTGGAGGTAAAGACCGGTGTCAGGCAAAGTTGCTTACTCTCACCCTTTCTCCTGTTGATCGACTGGATCATGAAGACGTCAACATATGGAGGGAAACGTGGGATACAGTGGACATCTAGGATGCAGTTGGACGATCTAGACTTCGCAGATGATCTGGCTCTCCTATCGCAAACGCAACAGCAAATGCAGGAGAAGACGACCAGTGTAGCAGCAGCCTCAGTAGCAGTAGGTCTCAATGTACACAAAGGGAAAAGCAAGATTCTCCGATATAACACAGCATGCACCAGTCGAGTCACACTTGACGGAGAAACTTTGGAAGATGTAAAAACCTTGACATATTTGGGCAGCATCATTGATGAACATGGTGAATCTGATGCAGATGTGAAGGCGCGGATCGGTAAAGCAAGAGCAGTATATTTACAACTGAAGGACATCTGGAACTCAAAACAACTGTCAACCAACACCAAGGTCAGGATTCTCAATACAAATGTCAACACAGTTCTACTGTATGGGGCGGAAACCTAGAGAACTACGAAAGCCATCATCCAGAAGATACAAGTGTTTATTAAAAACTGTCTACGCAAAATCTTCCGGACCCGTTGGCCAGACACTATCAGCAACAACCTACTATGAGAGAGAACAAACCAGATCCCAGAGGAAGAAATCAGGAAGAATTGCTTGAAATGGATAGGACATACATTGAAGAACGCACCCAACTGCGTCACAAGGCAAGCCCTCGCATGGAATCCTGAGGGCCAAAAAAAGAGGAAGACCAAAGAACACATTACGTCGAGAAATGGAGATAGAAATAAGAATGAACAAAAATTGGATAGAACTAGAAAGGAAGGCCCAGGACAGAGTGGGTTGGAGAATGGTGGTCGGCGGCCTATGCTTCATTGGGAGTAACAGGTGTAAGTAAGTAATTTTACCGTAATTTGTAATAAGAACCAATGTAAATTACTAATATGTCAATATTTTATTACATTGTTCAATTTTCAACAATAAAATACCCATTCAAAAATTACACCATTAAAAATCATAATTTTATGATCAAACCGAAAAATATTTATTAATGCATCATAAGAAAGGCGATATAAACGAAATTCGAATAAATCTAAACTAGAATATTCAGAATAATTGAAGAAATTGGATAATTGTCAAATTGTTACTTAAAACTTAATCGTGGTAAAATATATCGTCTTGCAAACATCATTAAAGGAGCAGCAGTTGGTATTACGTTAATTTCACCTGCACTACCGGCTACATCTACATTAGTGTAAGGAATTTGCACTTTGGCATCAAGACCATGCTACAAAACAAAAAGAGAAAAAAACAATTGATTCACATATACAAAATGAAAGCATTTAGTAAGGTAAATATAATAAGAATGAAATATCACTTCATACTTATATATGAGTCCTTATTGTGGTTTAATGATTGAAGATGTTACCAAGTGTTTAACCGAACTCAGTCTGAATAAGCGAAATGTGATTAGATTCTACAACATGCTAGCTGAAAGTGAGGTGGATCAAATCATCCTGATCAATGTTAGTAGTTAACATTGATTAAAATAGACTTGCTTATTGATAGACTTCCTCTTACCAAACATTAAATTAAACAATAGCCCTGTAGTGAAGGAGAACACAGGTGAGGACAACCGAATTGTATTTAGCACAAATTACAGAGTTACTTGGTAAAATAGAAAAACCATATAGTAAATCGTTAATTTGCAAAATATCAATGCATCATATCAACACGGACTGTTCCTGTTGCAAACATCAATCCATTGTCTCACATTTCATTGTTCATGCGTTTCCTTACAAATTGCATTGTGTTGTCGCTCTTCCTTTCTTGATGTTCCCCTATCTTCTGCTGCCAGACATTGCGTTTTTAACTCGCGTGATATACTACACACATCGATATAAGTATCACGCACCACAGCCCCACTTTGTAAATTAGTGAACGAAAAATCCCAAACGAGAGTTGTTACTTACCAGTGAAGGCAATCGGTTTACAGCTTATGACTGATAGGTTGGAATTCCACTTTATCGATAATAAGAGGACACGGCCATGATACCCAGTCAACTTTCCCTAGCTGTAGATCAAACACATAGTTTAACGCATTTATCCACAAATATTATCACTCTGCGTTTCTATTAGAATAATAGAAGCGACCTGAGGTTTGGGATAATGTGATATCTTATGAAATTCTTGTACCACTCAGCCTACAAACAATGATGCCGATTGTTTCGCAGACATCAGACTGTTTAAGCCAGCGAATACTGAGAACGTCGTAACTTTTGGAACAAATTCGTAGACAACCACTGTTTATATTTGCATTTTATAATTATTAAATCGTTATATAATTGTATTTTTATGTTCCCTGAATTAATGTAGTATTCATCAGATCGTGGTGTGGAATATGTCACAGTCAACAGGAGCGGGAAAGAGTATCATTAATTTAAGAAAGCACAGAGTAGGTAGAACACTTGGAAAACATATGACACGGTTTAGAAATAGGTAGATACAAGCTTATTGTTCTAATTTGTAGATAAATTTTAATTTTTTTGAAGAAACCCAATTATCACAGTCTGTTGTATACGGGACTAGTGAAAACAGTGATAGCTGCAATAAATGTATCAATGTGTTATGAGATAGTACAGTTGGATAAACTGACACAATTTAGAGATGAATCAGTTTCTTGTCCTCATTGAATAGCTGACTCACAAATAATACTCACTGTCATAAGGTGAAATTATCTAGAGTTTAAATAGTAGTTTCTCATGAGAAAGACTTATCTTGATAATTTCATCAATCCTTACTGATGTGGTGTGTTAAATTGAGACGACGCATATGTGTCAGGTACCATGTTGCATATGACTGACTGGCTGAATCTTTCATAACAATTTCAAATTTGACCGGTAACTATCAATTTAGGAAGATGAAAAGACAATTGTCAATTACCGACCTCTTTTGGAGATTGTAGGTCACAATGAAAGCCACAAACGAATAAAAACCAATTCTGATAAAAAAAATAGTCTTATTATGGAATAAAAACACTTCTATCACATTTTTCAACGCTTACCTTATTTAAGCCACTAGCAACAACCAAAAAAGCCGCTGGCATTTGATGACCTCGTGGTGTACCGCTGCTTGCCAGATTATTACACTGTACCAGGTCTTCATATTCACTTTTAGCCTTGTTCATAGCATAATCTTCTTTACGAATAGTAGAAATCTGATTTTTTTTCATAAAAAAGGAAGCAACAATATATATACATATAAAAAGAAAATTGTTAGAATTTATTGGAGTAATGATAATCCTTATCCGTTCAGATGGCTCCGTATTACATCAGAAATTGATGAGAGTTGAGAGGTCAAACTATTAGATTTAAACTAGGTGACATAAACATGTTATGCACGTCAGACATCTAAACATGTAGGATTTGATTACAAATATATTTCTAAACACTACTTAACTACAACAACGACTACAACGATTCGGTGTTCATCTTGTGCTAATGATGTATGGCAACTTGGACCGATGCACATATGTGCCTGGTCCTACGTTTTAGCTGACTGACTGACAACAAAACAGTTATTTGTAACTTTCTAGTGCTCACTGATTCTATTCCAGCTGATACTAAATTATGATATATTTCTTATATGTTTAGGCGAAAGAATACTTTACCTACAAACCAATCAGATTTACGATGATGGCTATTGGATTACTGAACCCAATTTAACAAACAATTAAGGATAGCTTATATCCCTTTTAAGAGCTGAGTAGGAAATAAACAAAACCTTGAAACAAACCGAATCACTAGAACGCTTACAATTGATAACATGGGGATGCTAAAGAATGGGATCCATTTAATATTACTATCTATATCAAGCGAATTATGCCTATAAACTGACATTAATTCTGTTATTATATATATGACTTGTGGAGTCTTCAAGGAAACTTAAAGGCCATCGATATATGAAATCAAATAACTAAATGCATAAGTATTCATTCATGTGCCTGAAAGGTGTTTTCCGCTAAATAATAATTACTCTTAACGTTTAACCTCACTACACACCTTTACCCATGAGTCAAATTACATATTCTAACTCCAACACATTTCAGGCTGTCAGGTTACATGTATATTATCTACATTATGATGGGCTGAAAATTGATTTTCACGAGGTCATTTCGAAAGTCACCGAGGGTCATCAGTAAAGCATACTTTCACTTTAGTATGATTGAAAAAGCCAGAATTTCAATCACGTTTATTGGCACAATGTATAAATTATTTTTGTATGTATGTATGTATAATTTCACTTAATTAAATGACATAGAAGAAGTGAGATTAGATTGTAACCTAAAGTGATAGAAAACAGAACTAATGAATTTCATTCCCGCTTCCATATCCTTATTTATCGATAAGTTATGATGTGTAATATACTCAACAGTCCCTGATTTTGTCATGTACAAAGAAAATTGAACAGATTGGCCACCATAGGAAATTACTCAGAGTAAAAGTAAGATTTTTATGAAGTTGTGTTTTTTTAGTTTGATAGTTAAAACATAAAACTTTCATTGTCTTTTTCGACAAAATAAGCAACGTAAACCTTAGGAATAAAGGAGTTAATGAAATCTCTTTTCAAATGACTGGCAGCTTGTTCTGCCAACAATAATTTTAACTGGTTGCTGTCAACAATAGTCTTGTTATTGCTTGCACACTTACATTGTCTTCCCCTTTGATCTGAACCCCAATCTTATATTTGTTTATGAATTTAGTAATTGGTCGATACGTTAAGTCCTTTTGCGATATATTGATTGATTGTTTCCAAATATTCTGATGTTAGAAATGTCCGAAATTTCAAAGATTTCCCATTGCAGTTTGCATCCAATATTGTCTAAATGCATTGATATAAGCGAAGATATGTCGTGACGCTTCACTATAAGTCGATGCTCATCCAAGAGTAGAAGATGGAACCTTTGTCTGATGATTCATTTTCCACAGTTGCAGCAGTTTGTTTTGTAGATGCTGTTCATCCCTATTTATCATTTCACCTTTCGGTTTGCGTTGATTTAAGTAATACTAGTGATTTGTGTGCTAAGTCTATTTCAAATGAACTCAATAACATGGCCGTAATTTTCTACGTGCCCTTCATGTTTAGTACGGTAATTTCTCTTGGTTTCTATATTTGATTTTGTGTTTGTCAATGAGTTCTATAAAGGCTTTATGATGAGATCGAGTGAGTAGTCATCCACAAAATATTTCCTACCTTATTTCTTCCCATGGTTGATATAATGCAATGTATCCTTACTGTTTTAAATATGGTTTTACTCTTCATACAAAATCCACAAATACAATAAGGACAATCTTATGAGCTACATATCATTAATTTGATTACAAATCCCAAATTTCATCCACTTGATTCATTTGGTTTCGCTGTTAGTAACTAGGTTGAGTTATATTGAACCATTTATATGACTTCAATTCCGTAACTAGTAATCAATTTATACTGTTAGTCCAATATTTTAGTTTATTCTTGTACTAGTCTATTCTGCATGCGCTACTACCAAAAGATTTCGCCTAATGAATTCCCAGTAACTGTTAATATTCTCATGTGACATAATGAAATGCTGTTTTCTGGGGGTAAATTGTTCCCTTTAATTGTGCTTTGGATAGTATGCTTCATCTCTAATACCTCAAGATTGGCCAGTCTACAAACCCTGGTGCATATCAATTTTCCGTAAAAGTATCACACCGGATGTAACCAATCTTTTCCCATGATGATTTGCATGTGTATCTTGGTTGCTTAATTAGAACATTTATAAGAATTCCACACATGTGTCTCACTTGCTGAATTACATTCCTCAAACGGGATCCACTTCACTAATTTACTTGCTCAATATCACACTCTCAATTAGTATTATCAACCAGTAGTAGTATTAATATACCCATTCCTCGAAAGTAATTTGGGCATGTCGTTTGCGGTTGATCACGCCATTTATCCCCTTACTTAATTGAAGTTAAATGACTATGAAAGTCCTTTGTAAGCCTTTTTTGTCTTTTCGACCCATTTACTACATAAAGATTTGTGTGGAGAGTAATGATACCAGCCCAATGCTCAAAGTAAGTGGAGATTTTAAATCTTCGACTTAATAGTTACAAATCGTGCGCCGTCGATAACAAACTACCGCATTCTTTATAAGCACATTTTACCGCTAGAATAGGTTACTTGATATTTTAAAGCCTATAACCTGCATTATTCGTAGCATTTCAGTCAATTTATGATATAAATTACTACACTGAAAAAGTGAAATAAAACGAATTCAGTACAAACCATAATAATTGTTATTCACGTAATCCTCATCTTCTGTGACGAAATAAATTGTTTTAACGGAAAACTTACCTCGGCAATATCAGAGATTAGATCACCAGAATTTTGTAATTCATATGATACCTTTTTAACTCGTGCTGGACCATTATCCATCAAGGCCTGCCAAATTAAAGGAAAACAATAAACTGAATTATCGAAATGGTACAAAACGGTGTAAATAATAGGAAAGGAAAACTATAACGCTGCTTTATAAGAATTACTTTAGTTACTAGGTCATTCTCCTATGAAAAATTATTGCACAGTCCGTTTTCTACGTGCTTTTGAAGCTTGTGAAGGAAAAAAAGTGAGACTGACAAACATTTGAATAGTCAGTGGTTTAGTGAACATATTCCGTGTTTCGGGCTGGGCACATTTTGTCTTCTTTAAACCTATTCTCATCTTAATATTCTTGTGTTCTGTAGATAACGTTCGGCTGTTGAAGACAATAGTGAACTAATTCACAGGTTACGTTTCTTATTTTTTGGAATTCATTACCAAACTGTACTCGATTCCTAGACGAAAGTCAAGTGTCCTAATAAACTCTGAACCTCCATCTGTCAGAGACATTGCCAGAATAATTACAATTCATCTACTTGAATAAATAGTGAAGAAAGCTTCAGGTACATATTCATGATAAATATTAAGAAACAAACACCTGGGTAGCAAACTGAATAAAAATCCTTTTTGTCAGTTAGAGACCAAATATTTTTCTTTTTTGAAAAAATCTTTATTAAATGTGTACCCTTTCAATTGAATATTGATTGTTTAAAACAGAAAAGTGTTTACTATAACAGACACAACGCAGAATAAATGTAGATACTAATAATGACAGTTAATTAGTTCAAACAGTTTTAAATTTACCGTGAAGTTTTTGTAAGCTCGAATAGAATGTCCAGTTAATGTGGCTATAGTAAATATAAATGGATTCTTAGCTGTGAGTGCCTGTAGAAAACAAAGTCAAATACAGAAAATAAAAAGAGAATGATTGCTTAGATGAAGCCATATTATTTGGGGAAATAACCTGCTTAGTAGGACTTGAATAAACTGAGGTATAAACCATAAATACCAACATAAGTTCTAATTGTATACCATTTGACTGTCTATACTACAGCACTTAAATAAAGTGTAAACAGTTTTCTGAGAATTGGAGCTTTTTAAACCGAATGAAATTTGAGCACCTAGGCAATCACTTCAGAAAATCACAAGTACTTCCAAGGAATGAAGTAAACATTCATGTATCGGGACTAGAATTCACCTTTACTCATATATAAAAAGTAATCCATTTATCCTCTACACAATCACTAACATAGTAGATTAGTTTAACTTACATCTTTGATAATAGTTACAAACACAGGACAGTTTCCTATTTTTTAACGAAATTCTAATAGAATGTATTTTGATCGCCCCTCAATCGATCACCCGAGGATACTTTCTTGTCTATAAACTTATGTTCTATGCTTTGACCACTGACATGACTTAACTAGCAGCAATTAACCTTGAGCAATGGTTGAGATTATCTTAACTCCTACTGGTCCATAACCCGTACCTTTCTTCCATTTCGGTGTTCAATCTATGGTAGAAGAACGCGGCAACATGCAATCTCCTATCTGTATTCGGTCAACCAGTCATCATAACTCAAACACTCATGTGTTTATATATCAATTATCAGACATCACCGTACTGTAAAAAGACTATAGTTTACGAACAACTAAAGTTTATAAATAACAGACTATAGCAAATCTCCTACAATTAACTTTGATTACGGTTAATTCTGTCGAGCCCTTCCCTTCAATTAACTTATTTAACAGTGTTATCCAGACAGTAACAATTTGTTTTTTTCTTTGTATTATTATGATCACTATCATGTCTGTATAAACGTGTATGCTTGATTACATGTGACAACCTACGCACACTTCTATCTAGCTTAAATGTTAATCGTTTAAATATCTCTCAATAAATCATTCTCTTTCCTATATGTATGCGCCTTGATTCGATTTGACTATAAATCCACCTCTGTATCAGCCTCTCTACACCAATTCGCCCGATGTGCTTGTAACTTTGTTATCTGCTGTCCAATAATAAACTGTAGTCGCCGCATCTTATTGCCTTCTGAACTGTTACCCGTTGTTATATGCTAACGGTTATCACAGTTATATAATATAATATACCCTTGTGGGCCAGGGTAATTTTACATTGGTTTTCAGGAGAACCAGACACCATCCGGACTTTCACGTAAAAACACAAACAGTACAGCTCAACCCCGTTTAGCAGGGGAACAAGACACCGTACAGGCTTTAACGCTACAATCTGAATAGTACAGCTCAGTTCTGTGGCGCAACCACACATGTATCAAGCACCCTGGTGGACCATAACGGTTATCAAGATGATTGATAAACGAAACATAAGGAACTATCTCGAAGCCAAGCTACTATGAGACCAAGAGGGGAATAATAAATTAGCAATAATTGAAAAAATGGTAAAACGAATAACAGTAGTTAATGAATCTAACAGAAACTCATACAATAAATGTGGAAATACAATCACCCAGTTATTTAACAACTATAAAATAAAAATAGTCAAGTTACAAAGTCCTTAATATTCATTCAATCATGACAGTATGAGATGACTCCGCGTGTCTCGATTCATACAGACAAGACAACAAAACCAAATTTCTATCATGCTTACGTTAAAGTGGCAACATAGGTAGGAAGTATAAAAAGGAGAACTAAATCATGACATTTTTGAATATTTTAACATAATAATGATAATGATCGTAAATATGAGCAACTTTCACAAAATCAATGCAACATTCCAAAGCATACAATGAAAGACTATAGGCTAAAACTTAACACTAATTCAGACAACTCATTAAACGGAGATATTCACAATACTACTGGTGAGTTTCTATGTGTAAAAGATATTTGAACATTGACTAAAAAAATACCACAACTACTAACCTTTTCTTTTGCTTCACATAATAAGTCAGCCATAACCGTTCTACCTTCAGCATCTGTATTACCAATACGTACACGTTGTCCAGAGCGTGCAATGATTATTTCATCGGCAACATATGATTCAGCTCCAATACTATTTCGCACAAATGCCAAACCTGCTGAAACACTTATACCGTCTGGTTGCAGTAATCCAATAGTTTTCATTAAACCAGCTATTGATGCAGCACCACATTTATCTCGATGCATCCCAGCCATAATTCCACCGGCTTTAACATCAGCTCCACCAGTATCATAAGTGATCCCTTTACCGACAAGAAATAATGATGTATCGATCTCTTTGGAATTCGACGGTTTATAATCAATATGAACAACTCTCCCATCATGACGAGGTACAACTGAAAGAAAAAAATGTTTATTTATTCCTTCTCCTTAAAAAGTATTCACATTTGAATGACATAAAAGTTAGTTATACTCATGGGATTTATTTTTAAAAGAAACTGAATATGAATGTTATCTGAAATAACTATTTTATTAGGAATATAAAAAATCGCCACGTCTACATATTGGGCTTGCACAAACAGCTTTGATAGACATTTTCTATTGTATCAGTGTCCTGTTTGAATAATTATGGTGTGGTGTGGTCTTACTAACGAGTAAAACTGTTAGTGTGATTACGGGATTTTACTCAGGATCCATTTCTAACATTAGAATTCTTACTAGTGACGATAATCTTAAATTTCATTTCTTCCAACTCAACCTTTAATACGACCGCTGCCCTTTTCTAACTAGTCACTACTTTGAGTCAGCTGATTTTCTGCATGCTTGAAGATCGTACTTTCGATAAGATATAATATACTGAGTTGTACAATTTCAAGTTCACTGTTTGAACAGTTATTTTCTTGTTGTGTTAGCGGGTGATTGTGTGAAGTATTATGTTCCAGGCGTTGACAACAGAACCATTCATATGAGGATAGTTCAATCGTTCCTTGATTTGCAAGTACCATTGGCCAACCGGAAGCCCTTAGTACACACTGTTGACAATCATAAATAACAGAAAAGTAGATAAGTTATAAATAAAGCAGTGTAACGAATGACTTTATATTAGTAAGGTGAAAGGAAAGGAGAAAAATTTTCAAAATAGCTGTAAGCAACTTATTGTGTGGATATGCACGTGTATGTGGGGGAAGAGGGTTCTTCCCATATGTTTCTTACATCGAAATAATTAATTATCATCCTCTAAATACAAGATTAATATTCTCGATAATTTTGTTTCCGTATATTCGTTTCACTTCTTGGTTTCACAGGAGATTGACGTTATTTCGATCATAATTTTAGTTTTCAGAACATTCTCTTGCTGTTACACAGTATTTCAATGATTGTCTCAATTTCACTTTGCTCAATCACATTTCTTTGGCGGCTGTTATATTTGCTTTGAGTTTGGTTGATTACTGCTCGAAATGTTTTATTGTTTTACTGTAGAATAAAGTCCTCATGTAGCGGGAAGTGTCTTTTCTGGGCAGTTTATATTCCTTAAAAGTTAGTCGAAGATGTTTTCAGTTTGTACTGTAAAAAGTTTGTACAAATTATGGACTGTTTGAGTTTCAGTGATCAAATCGCTTGATTACTAGCTGGCAGAATTACATACCTTGCTTGGCAGGGACACATTTCTTCTTCGCTAAGTAACCATTTTTGTGTTCGTTAACAATTTATCTACTCGATATATTCTGGATTCGACTGTACACATTTTACTGAATAACTCACTGGTTGAATAGCCTAGTGATACCATTCATTTAGCTATTTTGTATGATTCATATTTATGATTATTTAGAATAGTACTTTATTCTACCCAACGATAGTTTGGAATGTGCCTGTGAAGAAGGACGAATAACTAATGTATTACTAGGAGCTATTTAGAATCCGAAACTAACAGTTTGGATGTTACAGTACCCACTGATATTTCTGAAGTAATCGGGGCTAGAACAGAATATAAATTTGTAAATATTCAGGTATCGAAGTGAAAGTGGGAGTGATTTTCATTAGTTCAAAGAAAATTTTTAAAAATATGATGAATTAAAAGGATAAGTTAAACGAAGAAATGTATCTTTTCAATTGATTTACTTGCTATCACTCTAATGTGTAGATCTTGCAATTAAACATAAAATTTTCTCCAAAATTTATAACCTTTAAATAACTCAAAGAAAATAAAGATTTCGATAATGCAATGAGAAGATGAAGTTTATCAGAATTATGTGATATATTTGCGCAATACATTTCGAACAATCTGATCACACATATTTCAATGGTCAAATAAGATCACAGGATAGACAGACATCATCCTCCATTTCGAAACATTTGATTAAGACTGGTCATAAGGTTGACTTCAAGTCAACATTTGTAGTGTTATACAAAAACCTTCAAAGATATATCTAAGGTTTGTTGAAGCCTTGGCTATACGGAAACTGAAACCCCCTTTATGCGTTCAAAAACAATTTGTCCTTATCTTTAACCTACCCTAGTAATACTGATAATCACGTTGTTTTTGTGTACTTTATTATTATTATTTGTTACGGCTTACCTTTAATCTGTCTAGTTGACCTCTTAATTTTCATATAAAAGTGTCTTAACAAGTATATTGCGTGTGATCAGATTGTTCGAAATGTATTGCGCAAATATATATCACATAATTCTGATAAACTTCATCTCATTGCATTATCGAAATTTATCAAAGACTGATTGTTTTAAAGTAAAGATTAAAAACAAAATTACATAATCGGTTGTTTACCACAAATAATCATATAAGAAAAAGAAATGAAAGAGCAAGTTTGAAATCCATCATCTGAATGTAAACATTGAGTGTTATTCATAACAATAATAATAAATTAATAATACCACGGGGTGCGAAGAAAATTCGATAATCAGAATATTAACATACATAATATTTCACTGATTGAAACCATGAGTGAATTGAAGTTAGACCACCATAAAAAACCTGGAAGCACTGAACGGCCGTTTCGTCCTCTTGTGGGACACCTCAGCAGTGCCCATCCACGATCCCGCCTCCCACGAGATTCGAACCCAGAACCTATCAGTCCCGCGCGCGAGTGCTAGACCATTAGACCACTGAGCCGGCATCCAACGGTGTTAATGTCTAACCTAACTTCAACCAATCCACGAAGTTGCGTCATCGTACACCATACTAGGACGAAACGGCCATCCAGTGCTTCCAGGTTTTCCACGGTGATTTAGCTTCAATTGACTCATGATTTCAACCAGTGAACTTTCCAAAATCTCCACAAAACCCTTTCTGATACATAATATTTATTAAAATTGGATAAAATTGGAAAGTGCATTATTATCGCGTTTGCCGCGATATGCTACTATGATACAATAATACGATCTGGACACAGGATTATACGATCACTAGACTCAAACAGTTGTCTACTTAACACAGCATCAGCAGTCCATACAAATACAGTGAATTCTGAGTAGAAACATACAACATACATCTGTATAATACTTGACGCATGGAGAAGACTGATTGTCTTCATTTAGTGGCCAACCAGAGCTCAATAGCATATAACAAATCAATTTTATTAAAAGCAAGATGTGTCAAGTTTTAGAAATAACGGTGAATGGGAAAATTCAAACGATCAAAGGAAACTCACCTGATGCTGCTCTATTTACCGCTGCCATTAATGGGTATTTCTTAGCATCAACCTTATCGACAGTGACTGTAACACCTTTAAGACCATTTAAAGCATTCTGTAGGTATTCAGCAATTTTTGGGGCTGCCATTCGTTCAGGATCCGAACCACCAATATCTCGTGCTAATGTTCGTCCTTCTTCAATAGCTTTAGCGATATCTAGTAAGGAGTCATTAGCTTCCATCACCCCAAATCGAATAGCTTTAGGAAATTTCTCAGGAAGCATTTCACGAACCTCAAGGGGCTAAATGAATAATTCAAAGAATATGCGCATATTATTATTATTTAGGAAATAACTGGCTGGTTTCATGAAGGCAATCGATGAAGATTCAATTTGGAAATTTCAAATACTTATTTTTATGCATACCAGTACAAATAATATGTGAGGGTAAATATTCATTATTTAATTACATAGATCGAGTGAACAATAACCTGATCGTTGTTGCTACCTTGATGTGATGGTCGGGCTTGCCTATTGTGATGAAGCAACCGAGTTATACTGACTGGAACGACCGTTCCTCAAGGGCCTACCATACCAGACAGGTCGAGTGAAGAGCGGTGAGACTAAAAGCAATAAACCCAAGGTTCGAAGGCGAAGTCGTACTGCTGACTGTACAGAGGTGTGACAGCAGTAAGGTGTTTCCTTTAGACAGCCAGCATAACAGCGATGCTGCCTTCCCACAAGGAGGGGTGGGGTTAGAAAGGGTCGGCCCTAAAAATACACACCTGACCTTATCCCACGTTATCCGTCTACAGTGGTTAGGTCTCAACAAGTGCGCAGCTAACACGAAAATTACTCACAAAAAGGTCTTGTGTGATGACCGACCTCAGGCAGTTGTCCCTTGGGCACTGCAGCCACGCTCTCAGGTCACTAAGACCACCTCTAATCCAAATTCCTTTTCAAGTACCTCCAGAAAAACCCTTCCACGGTGTGGGTGACCGGGAAGTGAGAACTGCCCTCAAGATCACTGTATTCTCAAGAGTGAACAATAGGATAAGTATACATTCAATGGACTAAAAAAATTAATAATAACTGACAACGAACTAAAACAGATAAAAGTATTTATCGTATTTCGTATTCCGACCACCCTTTAATGTTATTTTTGTAATTCGATTAACTGAAAATACACACTTTTACACATTTTTCATAAATATAAATGTGTGATTATTCATCCGGAAATCGGTAACAACTTTTGCTTCAGTGGATTGTTAGAGGTTTCAATTCAACGATTATTTTCATCATTATGAAATAAAGTTGAAGAACCATTGAACTACACGAAACACTGGAGACTATTGTCTGATTCATCAATTTGTCAGTCATAACCAATATAGAATCTGGAGTGTATATGAATCGGTTTAAATTTTCACATGATATCGCAGCGAAATGAAATTATCAAAATAAATCCCACAATAATAGAAGTAGTAACATTACCAGTGGTGGTAGAAAACATTAAACACAAACAATATAATTCGAGAAGAAATGAAGTTCTTATCTTTTAGAAATTGTTCAGCAAATATAGTAGAAACCCTTCACAGCATACATATGTGGTGCTGGAACTTAGTATATACACTTCTTTCAGACCTTCCTAAACACTTGACTTTTAACTCTCATCTTTTCATATTGTTTTCTCTAGTTTCCCCCTTTTCTTAAAAGATTGCAATAAGCTAATCACAGTTAGTCAATGGGAACACAATGTACATTAAATTATTTTGTGTACAACAAAATAAAAATTGAAAAAAAAAACATTAAAAACTTACTGTATACAATGCATGATATGCTCCCAATACAGCATTTAGTAATAAACAATTACGTTCAGACCATTGAGAATCTTTCGGTGCTGATATGAATGATCCACAACATAATAGCGGTGATTTACAACCTATGTTTAACAATCTATTAAATATAAGAGAAAAGAATACAGAATAGTGAGATTTGAAAAATGAAACTTAATATTACTGAATTTGACAAGGATACATTATAAGGAAGCTACTGTTAACATCTACATTCAATATGATATCTAAGTTGTTACCTGTGGTTAATCATAGGAAAGATATATCGATCTGCCATAAATAGAGAAAAGACATCTAAGTGATCATATCAAGTGCATCAATTGTAGTAGAAAATTATAAAGCAAAAGGAACAAACAGAATCTGAACAGATCAGAAGGGAAGATTTTTAAAAAAAAAGATGAAGAGAAGCATACAATTATTGGCTCTGTTACAAATTTCTCAAGCATCATTGCCTAGATCATGTTATTGCATCTTTATATTACTGAAATGGAGATCAGCAGTATAGTATCAATGAAACTAATACAAAGGAGTATTCTTATTTAATAATAAAAATATTGAGCTAAATAGAACAAATTTGGGGAATAAGACATGTAATTGAGCAAAAATCTTTTACAATTAGATATCCATCCGGTTTGATTCTAGCATACAATGATATTCCTATGCATACATGATTAATATTAAACTAACAAAGGTCATTAGTAGGGTGTCGGTAACAATCATGTAGATTACAGTGTCATAATAAATGAGTGAAAATCGGTAGTGAGGAGACAGGTTTTATGAATGATATTAATATGAATAATTAAAAAAAAGCTTGATCTCATGTATATTTATTGCGACATAAAAAGCAGGTCGAAATTTAGGAAAATAAACTTATAGCTACAATAATCAATTACATTATGTAACCCTAAAGAATGAACTGCGTGAATAACCATTTCAAATACACAGTTTGTAAAGAAGAGGGTGAAGGTCTATCTACTACATGACCGATACCGACGAAACATGATAAGACAGAGCTGCACATTGTTTTGATTATACCTTTGACTAACCACGAAGGCTGATGTTCACTAACTCGTTCGATCAGTTGTTTGGTTGTGTACCCAATATAACTTTCTCTAGAGGAGTAGCTGAATTCGTAGGCATACATGATTTAGCAAAACCAGGAAACTTAGAAATAGGTCATTTAAAATAATTTATCCTCTACCTACTAGTTTTTCTTATAGGGTTCCATCACGTCTCTTACATAGAGCAGAAGCTATGGGGATTCGAGTTAACAATTTAAATCTTTGTAGTCATAAAAATTATTACTTCCCATACTATATGTCCTGATGTTTTTCTCTCTACCCCCTTCTTTCAAATATATGCTTAACTGTCCAATTCTCCAGGTACATAATCTCATAATCTTTAACAAATGTTATTTCAGTATCTATACTTTTCAAGTCATTGATCTATTTCTTATTATGAAACATTGACTCAATCCTTTATTATCCTTATCACAATTACACCTGTCATCACACCATCAATTTGTACTTTTTGCTTATTATGACTGTTTATGTAATCTATTCCATTATTATCACTGACTCATAAACCGTCATACTTGATATAACAATTTCATATGTGCATTTAAATATTACTATATCAGAATGGGTTTTGTGGAGTTTTAGAAACTTCACAGGTTGGAATCATGAGTCAATTGGAGCTAGACCACTATGGAAAACCTGAAAGCACTGAACGGCCGTTTCGTCCTAGTATGGGACTCCTCAGCAGTGCGCATCCACGATCCGGCACCCAGGTTTTCCATGGTGGTCTAGCTTCAATTGACTCATGATTTCAACCTGTGAGATATTACTATACATTAAAAGTAAAGCCTGATGAGAATCTAGTTGAAAACAATGTCGTTCATTCATATATGTTGTTCTAATTGACAATACGGGAATATTTAAATTTATCCAAGAGCCTATTTTAAGAATTCAAGATAGAAGTATAGTACGAGGGACAAGTCAATCAGAATAGGGAATGAGACTTAAGTTTTCGCAAAAAATTCAAAATACCGTAAAACGAACGGAAAAAATATCACTGTACGGTGCCCAGAACGCTTGAAATGGAAACGAAAAACTAACCTTGTTATCATAGAGTAAAAAGTGTCAAGTTAAAAGAAAATTTTATGTTAAAGAAAAATCAATACTACTATGATGTGTGCTACTGATATAAGTAGTATGTACCGTCAATCGAAAATGAAAGTGGTTCAAGTTTGCGACCTAGTGGTTGGGATCACAATACAATATAGCCTTAAAAGTAAAATCATCATTTATATTTGAATCAGACAAAAGATCAATGTGTGTACCCACAAGAATATAAAATCAATGTAAACTTTACTTTAACATGCCATTCACAGCAGCATCATACACACTACGAATGTCCGCTTCATCTGTATTTAACCGACCAGTTGGACTAAAAATCTGAAATAATTTAAAAATTCCTTATGAAATATTTTTTAAAGAATAGACTGACTTGCAAACCCAAAAATCCTATCATGCTGAAATTGATAATCGAGGCTTAAAATGGTGTTGAGACTTTGTGATTTTTATTAAGTAATAAGCAAGCATATATTTCATAATAAATGGATACTATCTGAAGTATGTACATAATGCATAACTGGTAGTCTTAAGAAACTGAGGACCGATCCAGTTCACGTTGATTGAATTGTAAAGTTTTGTGTTACTGCTCATTACCTAAGTTGTAAATATCTGATAACTATTCATGCACTAATTTTTTAACACACACAATACAATTATAACAGTTTTATTGGTCAGATTTCGAGAGTTACGTAGATTAAATAAACTCAACTGAATAAAAGTTTACCGTGAGAAATAAGGCAATTAACCAATCAAATAAAATGCCCGCTCATTGATTTCAGCACTCAACTGAGAACTGAATAATCAGTATTTCAAATGTCTCCATACATAAATAGAACCCAATAGTTATGTAAATACAACTCAGAAAGGAATTAGGTGATTCTACCTCAGCCCCCGATACGCCTCTGACAAAGAGATATATATCTTTAAAAAGGTCAATTTGTGGAAAGTAACCATAGAATGGCCAGTTAACCAACTTCCATAACCGAGTTCCACTAGGCAAAAAGAGGAATCTTATTCACTCCATGTTACCGAATAAGTAAGATCTGTAGTACTGAATGCATTGATGAAGAAATTGTGTTTCTTAAAAAAACACTGACTGATAAATGGCTATCAAAGCCGCTTCATAGAGAACAAATATAAATGTACCTGATCTACATATTCTAGGATTTTAAACGAAAAAAAATGCAAACAGAAATCATTGAAAAAATTACTTACTAATCTTTTTGATGGATGTTCTGGGAATGGAATCACACTGATTTCATCTGAAAACTTAGGATTAACCTTGGAAGTAAACGTTAAAAAATTATTATGACAGAATACTCATTAATATATATATATATATATATATATATATATATATATATATATATATATATATATATATATATATATTTGAAATATTCCCATATTGTAAATTTAGAACAACATATATAAGCGAACAATATTGTTTTCGATTAGATCCTCATCAGGCTTTACTCTAATATACAGTAATATTTATATGGATATACCAAATTATTAAACCAATCAAGGTAGTTTATAAGTCAATGATAACAATGGAAAAGATTACATAATAAGTAAAATGTGAAAACTACAAATTGATGGTGTGACAACAGGTGCATTAGTTTTGATAAGCAATAATAAAGGTTCAAATCAATGTCACATAATCTGAAATAGGTTAATGATTAGAAAAATATAGAAACTGAGATAACAATTATAAAATTATAAGATGACGTAATAAGAAATGTTCAGATAATTGGACCATGAAACGTATAGGGAGAAAATAAAGTAGTAGGAGGGTGTGAAGAAAAATAAACGAAGAGAAAGTTAGAAAAGGAATAAATAAATAAATTCATTTATTACTTAAGGCCAAGGGAGAGACAAATTTCTTCTGAACACAAAGACTTGGCTTGTTGGCTCGGATTCCTATAGCTTCTGCTATGTGTAAGAGACGAGATCGAACACCATGAGGAAAACTAGTGGGAATACGATAAATAACTTTGAACTTGTTTCTGTCCACTATATGACCGCTATCGATCAAGTGTGATAGAACCGAGCTGCGTATTGTTTTGACGTAACCTTTTCCTAACCACGAAGAGGGGTGTTCACTAACTCGTTGGTTCAGTTGCCTGGTAGTGCGCCCAATATAGCTTTCTCCACAGGAGCAGCTGAACTTGTAGATACACATAGAAGTGGCATAACCAGGTAACTTATCCTTCAATTGCGGAATCACCATCGATCGGGTCGAATACGATAGGCAGAGGTTGGCAGCATTAAACGTTCTCTTTACTGCTCTAGTCAATCTATCCCGTAATACATCGCTAGCCGAATCACCATTGGATTGCAGTTTCAAGAAAAGTGGTTTCTTATTAGCCGTCAGAGTCACTATTTTCCTGTTTTGTACGCGCAAGTGTTTCTTCAGGAAACCCAGTGGATATCCCAATTCAATCAAAATATTATGAATGTGTTGTAATTCTTTATCAATAGTGTCGACTGAGCATATCTTAAGAGCTCTATTTGCAAGACATTTGACTAAGTTTCTCTTATAATGAAGAGGCACAAAGCTTAAAAAATGTGTGTATTGGCTTGGAGAAGAACTTTTCCTATACACACCCTGCTGATAGAACCATTTTCTTTTCTACTTAACAAAACGTCCAGAAAATTTAGCTTGTTATCTATTTCCTCTTCACATGTAAATTTAATAGCAGGATGTTTGTTATTAAATAGTTCCAGTAGTTGTTCTTTTCTAATGTTCTGATAGGCAATGATGAAGGTGTCATCAACGTAACGACAGTAGGAATCCAGTTTATTGACAACCTCCTGTATATTAAAGCCTGATTAGGATCTAATCGAAAACAATATTGTTCGCTTATATATGTTGTTCTAAATATAGATATATACCGCGTACTCTAGCAAAATCAATATAAATAATTCAAAGCTTGATACCACAGAATGCCCTTTAAATTTTACTGAATACTCTCCTAAACTTTAATCGATAGTTAGCTGTGAAATGTTAAGAGATAGCAGT